GTCAAGAATACAGGGGTGTACATTCTGCCAGGTTATGCCTATTTAGAAGACTTTTTTTTAAAACTCACATGCTACAGATTTACAGATTTGCATCGTCAAAATAAGAGGAACAATAACAAGAAAAGAAATTCATTTTTTTTCAGTCGGTGCAACACCCTTTGAACTCTGCATCTGTGCAGCATATTCTCATTCCTGGTGCTGCTAAAGCTATTTTTGCTTTTTCTCACTTCTCTGCAGCGCTGTTAGCACCCAACATAAACTAAAACATATAATGAGAAAATGGAACTTTTCTATTCCACTAAATGATCTGCATGATCTGAGTGACGTCTGCTCTGTGTTTGATGAAAGTTAAAGTAATAAATGTGACAGAAAATATAATACTCAAGTTAAGTATGGATACTCAAAATGTAACTTAAGTACAGTACTCAAGTACATTTACGTTTTCTTGTTCTAAATCCACTCTGATCCTGTATTTGATCATGCCTATAAACCCTTCTATTTCAGCCCTGCTCAGAACAGGCTGTTTCTGTGTCTGTACCTTTAAATGTAAATGAGCTGTGTCTGACCACTCCCCCTTTCTGGAAGGGCTAAGGGTGTCTCGGTCTTTCTCGCTCCATGTCCTATTGTTTATGGTGAGAAGGCAGACTCAGAGGGCAGAACAAACACTTAGCTGTGGGAGTGTCATCCACCTGGGGGAGGGGTTACTGCCCTTTGTGATGTCATGAAGGGACACTCTCCAAACGGCCTGTTTGAGCACACATTTTCTAGAGAGAGGTGGACTTTTCTCCTAACTTGGGGGGGTTTGTAGACAGACTAGTGACACATATTAGTGTTAGAGAAACATGGTGAAGTGTATTTTGCAAATTATGTGACCTTTAAAACCTGAAGGGTGGTGCGATGACTTTATAAATTCTTCAGAGTAAGAGTTCCATAGGTCCTCATGTCTCTTTATAACAGAGTGTAAAAAAGCAGAATTTCCCCTCTGGGATTAATCAAATATATTTAAACAGCTAATTATGAATATCAATATATATTCACATTTTTGTATGAATGAATGCCACAACATTACATTATGCTGCTCTGAGTCTGATAAGCTTTTATTGTGAAAACACACTGACCTCTGTAGGCTGCATGCACACCCTGCACGCTGCTTACAAACTACTCTACTGTCTGTCATTTCTCTCTCTCTCTCTCTCTCTCTCTCTCTCTCTCTCTCTCTCTCTCTCTCTCTCTCACACACACACACACTCACATGTATGGAGTATCCCTCTGTAAAGCCAGCTGTGGTCATGCTGAGTATCATGCGGTGAAGTGCTAAGAACAACAGTAGCCAGAAAAAGACTGCGGCGGGCGCTCTCTCTCTCCTTCCTACTCTTGTTTTTTTCCTCTCTCTCGCTACTCTTCCACTCTTTCTGTCTTTGTCGCTGCGTCTCTTGTCTGGGTTTCAGGTCGGCACTGAGGTCGTAGAAGCAGAAAAATCCAGTGTCCGCTGCTGTTTCAGCAACATGGTCAAAAAAAAATAGCAAAGTTAGCTGTGGTTCGCTTGTGGAATGCTTCAGGATTTCAGACTCACTATTCTTTGATTCTCAGTTCTGTGACGGTGTCTGGAACAATGAAAGTGTAAGAAAATCATCCACTAAGAGCATACACATAAGAAGCAAAAAAAAAAGTCTCTGTGAGGGATTTATTTGTTTGTGGACTTGATTTCTGAAGCCTTAAATTTCAGATTTTGGCCCACACCATCCTGGTCAGATGGACCATAGTTTTGGTGCATTAGGTCTATCTTCTGGTTGATTGGTTGCCTTGGTAGCGACTTTTAAATCCAAGGTAGCTTTGGATGAACAGGTGCATAATTCTGCATTCACATGGATTAAATCAAATTAAAATCCGATGAAGTTGAGAATACTGGTGATGTTGCTCTATATCTAATGAACGAAAACTAACAATACATTCATATAACTTTCCATAAATGTGAATTTCTGCTTCAAACACACATCAATCTGATCCGTTGTGTAATGTACCGACCTGCGGGATCTTTGAGGTTTGATGAGTAGGTTGAATGTGTGCTTCTGTTAGCATCAGGAGGCATGTCATCAACTTCAGCCAGCCTCCTTTTGAACTTTAATTGGCTCCAAATTACATCACCGATACAAGATGTCACAACTGTTACAATTTTGTACAACAGAAGGAGACAGAGATATGTTGTCCATATTTATATACAGTCAGTTATCCTCATGCAGTGTAGTCTCCCTCTGGTGGCCATTCAAATAGTTGCAGGTGTAATGCTCCTTTTTAATGTCTTATTGTTTAACAAAGAGGTCTTATAAGCAGTCCATGATCAAGAATCAGGGTGTAAAACTTTCCTTCACCTGACGACCAGGGTTTAAGATTCTCCATCACCTCCAGCTCTGTTTACGTTCCTGATCTTTGACCTCCCTGAGTTAATGGAAAGGAGAATTTCCCTCAGTTTTTTCACATTCAACTGTAGGAGGGTTTATATGTGGGTGTTGTCTGGTATGTGGTGATTCTCCTCGCTCCCACCTCTGACCAGAGGGCACAGGACAGGAGGTTAGGAGGAGGAGGAGGAGGGGGCAGGTGGTTGTCGTGGTTCAGGTTTGGGGCCAGTCAGAGGTTCAGCCAACCACAGGGTCTAACAAAGCGACACATACCACTACAGTAAAGTGAAGTCTGATTTTAGCTGCTGTGTGACACCACAGACATGTCTGCCTTCTCTTCAGCTTCAACAGTGGAGAATATTTACGAGCTAAATTAAAAAACGGATCACTTTATGGCAAACTATGAGCAACAGTTACAATGAACACTATTACCCACATGCATAAAGGGCATTGAAACTTTTGGCTTTTTTCTTTTGCATTTCTTAAGAACATATGATTTGATCAAGTGCAAACAAAACACTTTACAACATTTCTTTTGGTTATTTTTTGGCCTTAGAGACAGGAAAGGTTGGGAGGAGAGAGTGGGGGGATGGCGTGCAGCTAAGGGCAGAGGTCAGATTCAAACCCAGGGCCACTGCGATGAGGTCTATAGCCTCGGTACATAAGACACACAACGTAACCGCTAAGCTATCCGGCGCCCCTTGTAGATTAAAGAAAAGGTTCTTTCACTAGTGTGCTGTTAACCACTTCATCAAAAACCTACCATTCATTAACGACTGTCTCAAACATAAAAGATACATAGATAAAAAATAATGAATCTTCCCGGTGATGGTCTTGTTTACTTTTGTAGCTCATAAAGAAATATCAGTATCGAATTTCAGCCTGTTTCATAACCAGTGAAAAACTCATTACAGGAGCTTTAATCAGGGCTGATACTAATGATTCATTCATTATCAGAATGCCCTTATTTCCCCGTTCATTGAAAAATAGCTTGGCCTATGAAATGCATAAAAAAGTAAAATATCTTCCTATGTTCAAAAGAGGAATTCTGTAATTTCTTTAACTGTAGTTTGTGCATACTCATCAATTAATCTACTAATAATCGCAGCTCAAAAATGGTCTTACTATAGTGGTTAGTGCCCATGTACGGAGGTCCAGTGGGTGGCCCCGGGTTTGAACCCGACCTGTGGCCTGTCTCTACAAAAAAAAGCCCTAAAAAAAATCTTTAAAAATGATCTTACTGCATATTCGAGTACGTTAGGCTATAAATGCTGCTGTGTGTGGCCACGGTTTACTTGCTCCATATTTGACATACAAAAAACATGAAATAAATAAACTAGTAGATAGCGTCCTTCAGAGTTTAGATATTATGTTGGACTAAAGACTGATTGATGATCGCAAAACCTGTCACAGAGGCTGTGACTTCAAAGTAAGAATGCAAAAACAAAACCTTTCAGATCAGCCAATAAGAACCTGTCCATCTTCTGTTGTGAAGACATACAGTGTAGCTCTGTGTTTATACTCCATGTGGGGCGTCAGGATGTGTTGGATTAGAGATCCGATACCTCAAACAGGTGTCCCTCCCTCCGTGGCTCTGCAGAGAGACGCCTGACTTCATCCTTTATGAATAAAGACTATATACATTGTTGTGAATGGAGGCTTCTGTTGGCTTACATCACATACTGCTGCTCATTATTCTGGACATATTAAACCGAGAGGGCTTAGAGCTAAACATATTTGGTTTGGTAAGTAAAGCAGGCGTGCTGCTATTCCCGTGGGAATGCCTGCATCGGCTTATCTGGGATTTTTAACTACCAGCCTTACTAATGTAGAGGAGGCTTTGAGCTAATTACCCGCTTTCACTGAGCTCCTGGATATGTGTGGAGAGAGTCTGAGCTACTTTATTACACTCAAGGAGCACTAGTCGAGGCAAAGAGGGAGAGAAGTGGGAATAAAAGCACCTGGTCAAAAGGACAAATCAAACAAAATGGCCAAATTATAATGTTTTCTTTGCATTCTCACCTTTTAAAAAAACATGTATGTTGCAGAGGAGTCAATAATGCAGCAGCTGAGGAGCGTGCAGGAGAAGTCGATGGAAATCACAAACCCCTGATGTCTGATGTTGTTGCAAATAAATATTTGGAGAAGTGCAAGAATCTAAAAAATGCAATATGAGAGAAAAACAGCAAAAAAAAAAAAAAAAAAGCGGCTGATGCTGTCTTTGTGTGTGCTGTTACCTCTGTGAGAATTTGTCAGTGGACTCAGAGGAGTAGGCGTGTGGCTGCGATGTGTGCTATATGGAGGGGGAGGAAAGAGAGAGAGAGGGAGAGAGAGAGGGAGGGAAGGAAGGAGGCCAAGTCAGGCCGGCGCTGAGTGAACATGTTTACTACCGACTGAGAGAAAGAAAAAATGAGAGACAGACAGAAAAAAGAGATTTGAAGCAAACCAGTGAGAAGTTTGAGTTTTTCTTTTACTTGGGACTGCATCACACTGACATTCCCGTCGCACCTCTTCACCTTTTTGCTCTTGTGTATTGCAAATATGGACTCATGTTTGGATCTGTGACATCCATTCGGACCTTTTAAAGAAGCACCACATCTCCACTGATGGCTGTAATCTCTTAAAAGAGCAGAGAGGTGTTTGAGTCTCTAACCGAGCAGAATCAGGGACTCACCTGGATTACAACACAGCCAGCTCAGCAGTTCATCTGTCACAGGATCGGCAGAGAGAGGAATCAAGAGAGCCAGGAGTTTGGGATCCAGCAGCGTGATGTGTTCACTAAACAGGACGTTGTCTTTGTCTTTGTTCCCCAGGGAGCCCACTGCAGGTCTGGACGCCACCGTGGACTATGTGAAGGTAGGAAAAACTGTTTCCTTTTTTTTGTGATTTAAGGAATCTAGAGAAAAATCTTCCACTGATGGATGCAGGATTTTGATTTTGCTGGATATAGTCTTAGCAATTCTCTCTTTGTGGTCTTATTTGTCAATAGAAAATCTGGCACTGATGTAGATATTGAACTTGCTTTCAGAAAAAAAAAACTATTGCATAAAATCACTCTGCCGATGCAAAACCCGTTAAATGAACTTCAGCACTTGCACACATTCAATGAGCATGTACAGTATCTCTGGGAGTGGATGAACCACACAAAGATAAAAGACGTGCAAACACACAGTAGCAATCTGTTGCAGATGTGCAGCTCAGCTGTGAGCTTCAATTTGCTGCAGTAAATCATCCGTGAAGTTGTAGATGTAGAGGTTTTTCTCTTAATGTAGAAAATCTTGGTTAAGTGGTGAAATCAGCACCAAAAGCTGTGGTGTAACTTCTGCAAGTTATTTAAATCTTTAAAACCTTCAACGATTACGACTCAAATGTAAACCGTTCATTCTTTTTTTTTTCGTACAGATTTAAGTTGGTCCATCACGCTGAAAGACTGACACTAGTTTTTACAGGATATGTAATAATCATCACGATTTCCCCGCAGGCTTGAATGTAAACATCACCCATACAGGCGACGTTAATCTAATATCCACTCGGCTACAAGAACAAAACACCTCCAAATCATCCGTCTGTCACTGTGCGCCGCCACTTTGCTCTAAATCATATTAACATAAGCAGCACCTGAGCTCCGCCTCTCCTCAGCCGCAGAGAGGTGACGACTGAGAGGTGATCATTCTGTTATCACCTCTGCATCACGCTGACAGATGATCTCATTTACTCTTGTATGTTTCTGTCTCTTTCAGTCCATGTCTGAACCTCTCTTATCGTTCTCAGCCTAGATATAAAATACATGCACACACACAAAGCAGCCAGAAGTCTGAATATTAAATATTTCCACATAACACTTCTTGTATGTAATGATTTTATGTGCCAAACACTCGCACTAAAATCTTGAGTATTTTCTACATTTTGTCAATATGTTCTTCAGCTAGATATTACCTTCATTAAATCATCTTTTAGTTGACACGTGTTGCATTTCCACCTTCTTCTCCTGCTTCTTTTTTTAGATGTATTTTGGGGCTTTTTCTGCCTTTATTGTAGAGATAGGGCAGTGGATAGAGTCGGAAATCAAGAATAGAGAGATAGGGGAATTACATGCAGGAAAGGAGCCAGTTGTCAGATTTGAACCCGGCCGCCCGCCTGGACGACTACAGCCTCCGTTACATATTGTGTCTTGTCAGCAAATATTTTAGATGATTGTTTGGTGAAACGGACTAAAAAGGGTTCAGTGGCTGAGTTCAGAAATGAACAGTGACATGTAGAGAAAATGGTTTTATTCTGCAGCATTTGTTATTGGAAAAGTCTATTTAATGTTTTTATGCAGAAACAACTACTTTGTCCTTCGGTTTAAGACTGAATCCAACATTTTGTACGCCTAAAGAAAAGAGGAAACTCAGATGAAATCATCAAATGTCCTCTTTAAGTCACAAAGTTCTTCACCTTTGGATGGGTTTAAACATCTTCTTGACCGCCTTATAACAAATTAAAGATATCTTGATTTGTGATTGGAGCCTTCTCTTTGGGTCGATCAAAAAGAAACAGTTGAGGCTACAGCAAGACGTAGAAGTGATAATTATTCCTTTTATATAAACGGATCTGCTCAGATTTCACATATTGCAACTGTTGCAAAGCAGCACTTACATACTGAGATAGTACTTTCTAATGTGTTTTTTTCCAAGGGTTAACTCATCTTCTCTTCTCCTCTCCCTCCTAAAACCATCCATTCCTCTTCCTCCTCCTCCTCCTCTTCCTCCTCTTCCTCCTCTGTCTATTAGCTCATATGTTTGGATGCTAACACCTCGGTCTGAAAAGCAAACTCAATCCTTAGAGTAGGGCAGTATGTGGGAGCTATAACCACACAAACACACACACACACACACACACACACACACACAGATTGTGTATTTATTTAGTCAATTTAGGGTTGTGTGCGAGTGTAAACGGAGAGCGTGTGTGCTGACCACAGATGGAGCTACTGTAACCCGGGGTTATTATATAATACGTGTGAAAGTGTAGCTGTCAGCTCTCACAGTCCAGGTGTGTTTGCACTTCCACTGTGGATGAAAAACACACACATATGTCCACCTACACACACACACACACACACATGCACAGACTGTAACGTATTGTTCATTAGCTGTGTGTCATTTCCTTTTGTTGGGGTCAAAAGTGCACGAGCGCTTCAGTGAGCCGTTCATTGCCGGGTGCAGTTAGTCCATCGTTTACGTACGGTACGAGGCTATAGGATGGACGTACTTTAGGAAGGAAGTGTCTGTCAAGAACAATACGATCAAGACGTCTCACTGTTCCCTCTTCCACGACTGTTTGATGTCTAAATGCTGCTCATTGTCCGAGAAGGAGGTGTAACTACTGACAGGAAGGAGTAACTGCTTCTGTTGGAGTCAAATAATCAACAAAAAACTCATCTTTAAAGGGGACATATTGTTAAAAATCCACTTGTGCAGTGTTTTTGAACATATGTTTGGGTAACCTGAGTGTCTACTGACCCACAAAATGTGAAATAAACCCATCCAGTCTTTTGTTTGTGGTTTGCATAACTCTTACAACACACTCCTCGTGTAAAACTTTTGTACAGGTCAGCCATTTTTATTCTCACTGGCAAAGGAGGGATGTCTACCAGGAAAACTCAGCAGGGGCTCATTACATTTAAAGAGACACACACACCAAAACGGAGCGTTCTGAGAGAGCTGGTTTATACAGGGTCACAAACCTCCTCTGGTGCTTGATTCATGTTATATTTTGACCAAAACACAGCACAGATGTTTCATTTAGACCACAGGGGACTGTTTGAAAACGTGGAGAAGGGGGATAATATGTCCTCTTTAAGATACAAAAAAAGGTGTCGATTTCATACAAAAACTGCTCCTTAAAAACTTGAAGATCTAAAATACATAATGTTTGAAGGAAGACGAAGTGAAAGACAGAATTGAAGATTGTTTTCTCTTCTGATCCTCTTTAGTAAAGGGGGAACACAACTTTTCTTTGACTCTTAAAGGCATCTCTTCTTTTGCTCTTTCACTTTTATTCCCTCTCTGTGAGTCGAAAAAGCGTCTGAACCCTGATGAAACAGCTTTAGGAAACAATAATCCTCTTTGTGAGTGTGTGTGTGTTTGTGTGTGTGTGTGTGTGATTTTATGTGTGTGTGTGTACATGAGGTCTCCAGCTGCACAAGTTTTCACCTCATCTCATGAGTTACACTTTACAGCAAACAGTACACACACAAAATATCATGATGTAGTGGTTACAACACCAGTAAACGGCGTTAACATTATGTCTTTTATTGTGTTTGTCACACTCTAGTGGTCAAATTGAAGTACTACACGCTGACAAAGACAGACACACTCGAGCTGAAGTTGTATCAGGTGTCAGTCAGTCAGTGAGGCGGTTAAAAGTCCAAACAGCCGTGTGACATTCATCAGATCATCGTCCCCGTCTATCAGCGAGCCAGCACGAGTTCAAACCAGGCAAACAGCCAACCAGCTGCTCCTCCTAATATCCAGCTCCACCAAGCAGCCCGCGGGAGAGTCAGTCTGTCCGTCAATAAAGCCACACAGACGATCAATCAGTGAGTTTGTCGCCTGTGAGCAGAGAGGGCGGCGCGCCAAAAACACAAAAGCTCACTAAAATAAACACAGAGCAGAAAAGAGAGACCTGTGTGCAGGATGATGGATCCGTCACAAACCAGATCCATGAATTCTGTAACATATCTCTGAGAATCTGCTCAGAACTGTTTCTGTGTCTGTAGCTTTAAATGTAAATGAGCTGTGTCTGACCACGCCCCCTCTCTGGAAGGGCTTGGGTGTACTCTGGCTTTCTCGCTCCATGTCCTGTTGTTTACAGTGAGAAGGCAGACTCAGAGGGCAGAAAAAACACCTAGCTGTGGGAGTGTCACTCACCTGGGGGAGGGGCTACTGCCCTTTGTGATGTCATGAAGGGAAAATCTTCAAACGGCTTGTTTGACACACATTTTCTGAAAAGTGGAGCAGGCAAAAGACGGGGGGGATGGACTTTTCTCAAGATTGGGGGGTTTGTAGAGAGACTAGAGACGCATATTAGTGTTAGAAAAACATGGTGAAGTGGATTTTACTTAATATGTGACCTTCAATAAAAGTTATCTACTAGATTAACAAAAGGACTATGAAATCATGTTTCACCTACCTACACCATTGCTGGATCTGTTTACACTCCCAGGTTAAGATTAAAGATGATTTGTCATGACTAATATCAGGTCTACAATTAAGTTGAAATGATTAAACTATCATCAGAAATGCACATTTCCTAGAGTGGTTGACCAAGTTTTGCTGCAAAAAAATGATCATATGTAGTATCTGAATTTAAACTATAGCTTTAAAAAACACAAAAAGCTGAGATGTATCTTGTGTTCAAACTGTTAAAACAAATTTGTTATTTTGCTTTCATACACAAAAAATGTTTCTTTCCATAATAAGCTATGGGACAGCTGTTATATTTGAAGTAAAAACACTTTTTTAGAGACTATTTTAGATGCATTTTATGTACTTTATACCACACTGCAACCCTCTGAAGCTTACTTTTAGGCTAACAACAATAAACTTTATGCATCAATGTTCTCATCGGAGTCACATGAAGCGCTGTGAGATTTTTATTGACGCTGTGAGGGGCTCGCACAGTAAAGGGGTCACGTTGCACACATCGATATGCCACTAAGATCACAGTCCATTACTGATCAATGACCCATCACGGGCACAGACACATCCAGCCTCTCTGTGGGTGTAAACAACAACGTCACTGACATTTATTCTCTGGCAGTGGAGCATGATGAAAGCGTCCAAACTGGTACAGAAGGGCACCGACTGCGG